GCGGGGGGTGTTTCCAGTGATGTGGGTTGGACAGATGGTGCCCTGCTCCAGCCCGGAGTGACATGTGCCCTCCCGAGCAGCAGGCTCCGTGCTTGTAATTTCCTCTTTGCAGGGTTCCCGGCTGAGCTTTTGTGCCGCTCTCCCCACACACCGCGTTCGGTGCCTGCCCTAAATAACCATCGCCCTGCCCGTGCACAGCTCTCTGCAGCGCCTCGGGGGTGAGCTGCCTTGAAAATGGAAGTGCCTCCAGCAAGGCTGAGCATGGCTTCGGCAGAAACCCTCTCCCTAGGAGGTGGGCTGCCTTCCTCTGGGATTTTTGTGTCTAACAAACGGCAGGATCCAGTGGGCAGGAGGGATGGGACCAAGCGACGATGTGGCATCTGGTGTGCCGTGAGCCAGGACTGTTTTGGAGGTGGAAAGGATGGGCAAGAGGTGACGGGGAGATGGGCTGGTAACCTGCTGCCCATAGTCTCTGGCCTGTGTCGTCATGGTAAAAGCCTGTGCTTATAATTAAGAATGGGCAATGCTTTCCTTGCCAGCTTCAGAAAGGGACTAAAAATTCCTGCAAATTAAGATCCTGCCAGAATAAAGGCAAGAAAAGCTGGATAGGCTTAGGGGAAGTTGTGACATCCCTGCAGACTTTTAGAGGAAGGACTGAGGGATCTGGGGCTGTTTATCCTGGAGAAGAGGAGATTGAGGGGAGACTTCATCGCTCTCTACACCTACCTGAAGGGAGGGTGTAGAGAGGCGGAGGTTGGTCTGTTCTCCCTAGTGGAGAGTGATAAGTTTAGGAGAAATGGATTTAAATTGCACCAGGGGAGGGTCAGGTTGGATATGAGTAGGAATTTTTATACTTAGAGGGCTGTCGGCAGCGCAGGCTGCCCAGGGAGGGGGTTGAGTCGCCGTCCCTGGAGATGTTTAAGAGCTGGATGGGTGTTGCGTTGGGGGACATAGTTTAGTGGGTTGATAGGGCTGGGACAAAGGCTGGACTGAATGATTTTCAGTATCTCTTGCAGCTGGAATTATTCTATGATTCTATGCTTCTTAACCTCCTCCATGGTGAGCCCTCCTGCTGACGCTCCCGGAGCTCTGGGAGTGCCAGAGCAGGTATAGGCATCATTCTGGGTTGGTTTGTAGACCCCAAACGGACTTTTGCTTAGAGCCGGTGGCGGCTGTGCTGGTGTAGCGAGACTCGCTCACCGTCTGAGCGAAGGATACAGTCGGCAGCGGCGCTGGGACTCGAGGGTGACAGCCGTTATTTTGCTAAGATGGGTTTGAGCAAGGCTGGAGCAGTGATGGCAGGGGACAGCGGGGAGGTGGACCTGGTGGGAGAGCAAACTGCCACGTTTTGGAAGCAAAATGTTTCAGGGAATAATCTGGATCCTGCCTGATGCAAAGGCGGCGTGCAGAGCTCCCGATCCGTGCTGCCAGCACAGCAGCGTGGTTTTAGCGATGCAGGGAAGAGATCCAAGTCGAAGCAAGAGAAAGCTCGAGGTTCTCATCCTCAGGTTGATGGCAACCAGCTTCGTCCAAATAGAAACGCACCGACCCGTGCCTCAGGCTGGCGGCTTCTGCCATGCCCCAGCCTCGCTGTGCCCTGGAGTGAGGCCTGGTTGTGGCCAAAATGGACACATTCAGGGAACGTTTCTGCTTTACGCCCACAAAGTGCTGAGGTAAGGGCAGAACACACCTGCTGTTCCTTGTCACGGGGTGAGATATTCGCCTGAATCGTGGTAGCTCTCCAATCTCAAGGTCTTTGGATAAGCGTTGCGCAAGGCTGAAAGCTGAGGTCTCCCCTGGGTCACCTCACCCAGATCAGTCACCCTGGGCTGAAAAGACAGTTTTAGGGCGAAGGATAGGTATTTCATCTGACTTGTTTCAAGGCCAGAGGGATCTCTTTGGAGACCGTGTTGGCTGGCTCTCTGCACGTGCAAAGGGACCATGGGGTGACATGTAGCCACCTGCAAAATGCGGGACAATTATGAGGTGAACAGAGACAGTTCTCTCTCTTAAATCTTCTCCATTCCACTGGCTCCTTCTCTCTAGTGAAGGTAGAGTAAGAAGAAACTTTTCCACCCCATTAATTTTCCATTTCCCTCTGTCATCTATCTGCTGTGGGTAATAATTTTTTTAATGTCTCTGTGTACAAAGGACAGTAATTTTTCTTTGCCCTGTGAGCTTGCATCCTCTGCCTCACTGGGACAGGAGGTGTTTTCACCTCTGGTGACAATGACACTCATGCTTCTCCAGACAAGGACAACCCCTCGTTTTGCCTGCCGTGGCTTTACTAGTTCTGTTCTCTCCCACCTTTCCTGCACTCTGCGGCATCCCTCATGCTTTCTCCTCACAACATCCCTCGTGCTTTCCCCTCGCAGCATCCCTCGTGTTCCCCACCACTGCTGTCTGGCGAGCCGTTGTGCTCCTGCGTAGCTGAGGATACCTCATAAAGTTCCAGCTCTTGGTAAATGCATTGGTGTCATTAATATTGTTCTGTGTTTGCCCCGGGAGGCAAGGCGGTGCGGCAGCCGGCTGCGGTGATGTTTTGTGTTGTGCCTTTCTTGCCAGAGCTGGCCGTCCTCTGCTCTCTTGGTGCCTGTAGTGCTCCGGTGCAGCAGTGCCTGGGGTGTCCCACACTCTGGCTCCCGTTTGCTCCAGCTCCTGGGAGCACAGGAGCAAAGCAGAAGGGGAAGATTCCCATGAGCAGCTCCTGGAATGGAGCTGCAAGCTTTGCAGGAAGCACTTTTTGATGCCTCTCTCCGTGTCGTTGCAGGCAAAGGACAGTGACGATGATGATGAAGTCACCGTCAGCGTGGACCGGGACCGCTTTATGGATGAGTTCTTCGAGCAGGTGAGAGCTTTGTTTCTCCAATGCTGCTTTAAAGCTAGTTCAGACCTTTCTGTTAGCGCTGGAGGTGGCTGTGGGGCTGTGCTACAGGCTCCTACCACAATGGCT